ATCTTTCAGCTCATCCAAGCATCTTAGAGGTTGAGGGTCTGTCAGGTCTGGCATTCCTTCGCTCTTCTTATCACTCTCTACCCTTTCAAAAGGCAATTGATTAGTTTCAGCTTTTCCAAACCGAGATTCGATCCGTTTCTTAGGATCAAACGTCTTTGAGAAGCCAAGAGAGAAACGTGGGGGATGGGGCATGTGAAGCAAGAAAAGCAGTGGGGAGAAATGTGCCCTCCACCCCAACCCTCCGACCTCAAGGCACCTAGGGGATGGGGGTGCTGGGCAGGGGATGAGATTGTGACTTTTCCTGGAAGAGGCTCTTAATGAAAGATGTGTCCTCCCTTTCCGGAAGCAAATATTTAAAGGAGAAAATAGATACTAGAAAAGGAGGTTGATGATTTATGCCTGGATTTCCCTCTGAGCTTTTGCCTCCCTTGTATTTACAGGCGTGGCCCCCTTTGCAAGTTGTACATCTGTTCTCTTCACGTGACGTTTCGTAAAAGCCCAAACATCTGGGCAAGATAAACTTGCTTCAGGTACCTGCTTAACTTTTTTCACTTGTCACACTTGCGTCACTCCCCTCCTGCCTGCCTCAGTGGCTGGGTCTAGGGTGCACTTTGCTCCAGCCCCCCAGCCCGAAGTGACTTTACAGGGCTTCGCCCTCCCCCCACCCCCAACGCCCACCTCTACCAGGGCCTAATTCTTTGGCAGACCCCCCGGTCCTTAGGTCTCCCGCCTCTGGCTCCACTCTGTAGGTCAATGAGGGCACCATCTTGAATCCATGGAGAAAAGTCCTATTTCTTTCGATTCCGGTTTCAGAACAAAAACAAAACAACTGCCTAATAAGCTACACGCCAGCTCGCGTTGAGACCCGACAGTCTCACGCACGTCTGTGTATCCCGAAGTTAAATGAGAAAAAGGTGGAGCCGAGGTTGACGGGTTGTGTTTTACCTGAGCATTGGCAATAACTGCTAGATGTTTAAATCTCATGTTTTACAGAAATTTAATTTCCCTCGCTCCAATCTCTCCTCCCTCAAGAAGGCCGTCTCCCGGGATGAGTGTTCTTAGAACGTTTTTTTGGTTTTGTTTTGTTTTGTTTTTTTTTCCTTTTCCTAATCTGGAATTGCGTTCCCTTGGCTTCAGCTTACATCGCAGGCAGAAGGACGGAGACACGTCCACAAACTTGAGAAGGGGGTGGGGCGGGGACAGAAGGAGAAGAAAATAGTCCACGTAAACAAGCAAGCCCGCCGCTGGAGGCCTTCGCTCCAGCAAACCCCAACTGATCTCATTGCAGGGCGCCCGCGAAATCCCGGCTGTAATTGAGTGTTTTCTTTGAGGTTTTCTGACCATGTGCTTCTTACCATGGTTACCATGACTCTGATAGAAGCTGGATATACATTAGGATCTCGCCGCATCCTTTCCCTTAGGCTTATCTCCTTGGCTCTTACCAAAAAGAATAGAAAGGGGGAAGATTTTGTGCCAGTGATTTTAACCTGCCCCACCTTCCAATGACCTGCCACATGCTCCTTCTTACTTTATAGACATCTGGGAATTCCATACATGCCTTACACTCCAATTACACACCTTCTTCAAAGGGCACGTGCTTTGATTTGCTGAGAACGTTAAGTGGGCTCACGTCCTGGGGCCTTGGGACAAAAGCGAACGGAAAATGTATCCAGTGGCCTGTTTACCGGGTCCGCCTTTTGCTGTTCGGCAAATAAGGCTAATTAATAAGTCTTTTTGCATTGCGAAGGCCGAGGTTTCGAGGGTTTGGCGGGGGACATAGTGGGGTTGCCGGCCTTGAGAAATTACAAGGAAACAGATTTCTCCTACCAATTGGCCGGTGCACTGTCCTTCCACTTTCGCTGGTGCTGGGGGTGGGGCACGCTTTACGACACACACGCAGAAAATTCTGGAAAAGTGGCCCCGGGGGATCCCCCTCCTGACCCCCGTTTGTCGCTAATGCGGGCCTCTCTCTGGAAGTGGGAGGTTGGGCCTTTGCCTGAAGCTGCTGCTGCTGCTGCAGCAGCAGCAGCTCCCCTCGCTACCGCTGACACTTGGAGCCGCCGCCTTTGCGCCCCGCCAGACGCGGGCCCCGGGCGGTGCTCGCCGTCGGAGGAAGACTCGGACACTGTCGCTGTCCCCATGATGCGGCCCGGCCGCCACCCACGCAGGGCAGTCTGGGCCCACGTCCCCTCCCGCGCCTGCCGCAGGTGAGATCCCCGCTCCCCATCAAGCTCTGTTTAGGTTTCCGTGGCGTTTGTTCCCCCGCAGGTTTGTTTGTTTTTCTTCAAATTACAGATGCAGGGAAAACCGCCTGACATCATGAGAGCTGGACAAACGCTCACTTTGAAGGATTCCTGGGCAGGACTTCAAGTGAAATCATATGCCTGAGAAGAACTTGATACCGGTCTAGAGAAAATAACCAGTTCTGAGTTTGCCAAACCATGGAATGTGCAAAATGCTCGACTTTTTTGCAAGAGGCCAAGTGTCCCTTAAAAAGCTCCATTATGAATATGAGCCTGAAGACCGAAAGAGCAAGAAGTTTGTGCCGTTGTTGGCTGTCAGAAAAAAGTACACACGTTGTGTGAGTTTCTGCTATTTAATGTTATTTTATATGTTTCAACTGGGGAAGAGTACTGCAACTATGCATGAATTATCAACTGTGACGGTGCTTAGCAAGAGGGTGCACGAAGAGGGGGAAATGTATGTATATGGGAACAAAAACTTGGTGTTTTCTGATGACTGAAGGCCATCAATCAAAACAGCGACATTAAGAGCAAGACCAAAAAGCTATGTGCAAAGTAAAGGAAACATTCCTACTCAGTTGTGCAAAATTCATCCAAGACAATTTAATACCACACTCCTTCTCCAGTGAATGCATTCTGGTTAAACAGTTAAGAGTCCTGGGTCTGCCACCACATTAAATTCTCACTTCTGAAACAGAAGTAAATCATTCTAAGTGTCCTTTAAGTAAGAATAGGTAGCAAAAATAAAGTGACATAAAATGCAACGGGAAGTAACAGTGGAGAGAAGAAACACACAGGTGGCTTTATTTCTATTCTGAAGACTCAGCATCGTCACGTGCCCTGGGGTCGAGGAGGTTGGATATATAGAGTCTGCAAGCTGAAAACTGTGTTCCAATAGTTGCTATTTTCCACATCAAATTCTTCTCAAAGTAAAACTAGTCACCACCCTGCTTTCATTCATTCATCTGAAAATCTAGATGAAAATATCACCTTCAGTTTAGTATTTAGTATTACTCAATATAAATGTGGCATTTGCTCTTCTCCAAAGTGTTTTCTCTTATGAGAGAAATGGAGAGAACAAAACACCAGGAAGGAAAAAAAAAAGCAAATGGAAGACTACCTCATTCTGAAACTTATAGTTTTTATATCATCCGAGTTTAGAAATTACCTTCTCAGCAATGATGCTCAGCTCCATCCTGAGGTACGTCAAGAAATCTGAAATATCAAATAGTCAGACCAAGCTAGTGAACAAGGAGATCCCTCCATGAACAACTCAGAGAAGGAAGGTGGTTGGATGGTACACACACAAAGGAGAATGACCAGCCTGGTGTTCTCTCTCCTCCTTCTCGGGCACTTCCCTTCCAGGTCTGCCCTCCACGCGCACATACGCACACAGTCCACTAGTACACCCCCACGGAATCACTTTCCCACCTCCTTCTTTGGTAGAAGACTAGCAAAATCCAAATATTAATTCCCCAAGCCTTCACCAATCTTTTAATATAAGTAAATGCTAAGGCTTTCTCTCATAAGATATGGTCTAAAATAGTCACACTAATAAATGTACCATACTGTTAAGTCAGCATTCTGTGAGGACGTGTGGAGAGGGAAATAGAAACCTTAGGACAATATAGTAACCTGGACCTGAGCTGACAAACACAATCTGTTTGCATTCTTACACTTTATTTTTCCTGCCATAGTCATTGTTTGAATTAGGCAGCAAAATTATTTTCCAGTTGAAAGTTTTCCTATTTGCACTTGAATGCACTAAACTGTAAGTAAAAGTTATGAACTAAGTGATACAAACTTACTACTTCCAATATTAATTATAAAAGCCAAAATTTTCCTGACCCAAACAGAACCAGAATGAAATAAAAATCAAGCACTGTTTGTTCCTGTTATTGATTTACTTAACACCATCAGATTTTATATATGTAATGTTAACAGGAAAATTCTGGTAATTTTGGGTAAAACATATTTGCTAATGAACTGACTAGGAAATGAACAGCTATAGCATTTAAAATTGTAATTGTTCCAATAGTTAACAAGGATACTGAAAGGTCATGTTCTTTGTTTATTGTATTTCACTCCACATGTTCATTATGTATAAAAGGAGCACGCCTTCCTAATGGGTAACAGCAAGGTGGGAAAATATTCATAACTTTGGCTTGTTTTTGCAGCGAACATGACACTAAATGTCACTTTCATTCATGAAAGAGTTAAGCAAACTACAAATGTAATTCTCTCTTGCTGAGTGAAGCTTCATCATTTCCTTTGCATTTGTATTCACTGATATGTGTATAAAGGGTAATGATTTTAGTTAACACCATGTGCATCTTTTCTCTGAAATGAATCCATTATTTAATAGTCCTTACCAAAAAAGTGGAAGGCATGACAAAAATACACAGTAGCAAGAGAAAATAGTGCTGGCTGCATTCTGCTGATTTGCATGTAACTTTTACAGCTGCCTCTTCAAAATATAAGCAAAAGGAGTAAATAGCAAATTTAAGTTTTTGCTGTTCGGGGACCTGATTAGAGATGGAGAGATGCTACCAAGCCCAGTAACAACAAACTGGAATAATAAGAAAGCCGTCTTTCTAAATAACAGGCCTGTACCTGTCAGTAGCTAGTTTATTTGCGTTTTTCACTGCTTTGTTTGTATTGGTGTCCCCTCCCTCCTGTGTGCCTCCAGAGTTCAACAAGCAGGTATCTACCTCCAACTTAATCCTAAACTTTAAAAATATAGACCAAACTCTAAAGTTCTTAAAATTTTCAGTCATATTTATTTATTGCAGAAAAATAATATACAAAGATATTTACAAAACAATCATAAAAATATGAATGCATTTAGACACCGGATCTATTTGCATTTTACCGTGGGTCCTCAATAAATAAATAGAATGTTGTATTTTGTATTTTAAGTTTTTTTCCCTCAGAGGAAGAATGAAAAAAGGAATGAACTGACTGTGATTTTGCACGTCAGTGTGATTCCAGCGTTTTTATTTCTAAAGGTGTTCTTAATATTCCTCTGATTGTTACCATTTTAAAATGGAGAAAAGTCCATAATGATGTCTTTCCTTTCAGTGGCTGATTGGCACGACCTCTTGAGAATGCATGCATGAAAAAATAAAAATAAAAACATTCTTCGTCATAAAAAAAAAAGAACACAAACAACGGTTCAAACTTCTATCAGAATGCAGAGGTGTGAGGATGGTGCCGCTGCCCGTCTGGGAATCACTGTCCACGGGCCTGTCTCGCTTTCTCTTTTAAAAGTGCGCCCCACGCCCTGTTTCTTTGAATTTGGGTTCTGCTCTTCTAATTTCCAAGAAAATCTTTGGCATATATATTTATTTTTAGTTATCCAGCTCCAGAGTCTCTAGACTGTCCATTTTCTCCTTCTCTGGAAACAAGGACATCTGCAAAAACCCAAAAGGGGGTAAAATCGGTTATTGTGTAGGTCTCTGGCTGTTTTCTAAAACTAGTGAGCACTGTTCTTATCACCACCACGGAGAAATACGCTGAACAACCTGGAAGGATTTCAGCCCAAGGGCAAGAGGAAGTGGGTGGGCGGAAAGAAGGAGGAGGTGGAATTTGGAAACATTGGTTGTAAAGAGAACGAAAACTTTAAAGCCAAAAGAAGGGGAGGCGCTGGCAATTGTCCTTACCCATGACCCTTGACTCTCTTTCAGTCTTCCCTCCTGTCTGTCACGCACACTCATCCACACGCACACCCTCACAAGGGCGCATCCCTCACCCTCTAGACGTACCGAACTGCCTCCAGGGGGAAGAGGCGGCGGTACCAGGTGGGGTGGGAAGGCTGAGAGGGAAGCGGGAGAAGGGGAGGAAGGCGCGGTGGGCTGGGATCCGCGGCCTGGCCGTCAGTCCTTCGGCCACCTGAGCGGCGAGGGGGCGCAGAAGCGCCGGTCCTTACCTAGGTCTCCGGCCTTGCCGAGGGGGTGGGGAGCTCCGCCTGCTAGTGAGACGCGGACATGGACCAGGCCCCCTCCATCCTCCAGACCGAGAAGGCGTAGCTGAGCCGCTCGTGGGCCACATAGCTGCAGCTTGCCATCTTGGAGTCCAGCTCGTCGCTCTGGAGGACCTGGTAGAGGAAGTCGATGTACCTGGCTGCCAACTTCAGGGTCTGGATCTTGCTCAGCTTGTCCGAAGGCAGCGTAGGGATGATCTTCCGCAGCGCGGCGAACGCCTCGTTCAGCGACTGCGTGCGCTGGCGTTCCCGCACATTGGCCATGACCCGCTGCGTCTGCAGCTCCTCGTAGGACTGTGGACTCCCGCCGCCGCTGCTGCTGCCGCCGCCGCCCGCGCCGCCACAGCCCGTAGACTTCTTGCCGCGCTTGCCCTGGGCCGGGCTTCCCGGCTCCTCGCCGCCTCCGACGCCCCCGCCCGCGGCCCCGCCGGGCCCCGAGCCGCCGCCCGCGCTGCGCCGGCTGCTGCGCCGCTTGCGCCCCCCGCGCTTGCCGCTCGGGGGCTGCTGCCGGTCCGGCTCCTCTTCGCTGTTGCTCAGGCTGTCGTCGGCCGGCGAGACTGGCGAGCTGGACACGTCCTGCATCATCTCTCGGGCGGCAACGTGCGGCCACGCAGGCCCGGGGCAAAGGGGCGGCCCGGGTAAGAGGAGGAGAGCGGGGCGCTTCAGCCCGCCAGCTTCCCCCGCGCGCGGCGCCGGCCCGGGCGGTGCGGCCCACCGAGGAGAGGACGGGAGGAGGGACAGGGAGGATCTCCGCGGGGAGGGCGCGCGGGGGAGGCGGGGAGGGAGGCGGGAGGGGGAGGGGACGGTGTGGATGGCCCCGAGGTCCAAAAAGAAGGCGCCCAACGGCCGCAAGCACACCCCGCTTGGCCTCCTGGAAACGCTGCGGGTGCCGGCGAGCCCGCGAGGTGTCTGGGAGTTGGGCGAAAGCTGCAGACTTGGAGGCTCTTATATCTCCGTGCAGGCGGAAAGTTTGGGGGCAGCAGTGTCATTGGCCTGACGTGGGGAGGAGGGACTTTCGAAGTTTTATAGGAAAGTTTCCGCTTTCCAGCCCCCCTTCTCCGTCCCCACCCCCCTTCCTTGGGGTCTAACAATTCGTCCTCCCAAACCATTCAAAACCGACCTGGCCCGGCGGCCGGCCCCTCTGCCCGCCTCTTTGCTACCCTCCCCCTTCCTTCCCTCCCCGCCGCCCTCCTCCCGCGGGTTTGGGCGATTCTCTTCCGCGCAGGAGCGCGCGGGCTGCACCCCCGCACGCGAGCGCAGCCGGGGGAAGTGGCTGGAGGGGACCGTCGCGGCTGCGGTGTCGGTCCCTCCCGGAGAGTGGCTGTGACAACAGCGAGGGCAACAGTTCCTGCTCACTGGGTGATGTCTCATTTCGCCCCAATAGCCTCCAGGTCCGTGGGCCAGTTGGGGATTGCTGGGCGGGGGGAATGGCCAGAAAATTGGCAACCGCGTAGCCCACCAATGGTCAAGTAGATGGGTCCCTGGAGTCCCAAGGGCCAAACTGCTGTGGCTGGCTCGGAGGTCGTGGGCGTTTCTGAAGACGTGGCCGCGCCGCCGGGACCGCGGATCTGCACCCTGGCCTGCTCTCTCACCCCTGCCTGAGAAGCATCTGAGCTTCTTTTGCTCTGTGTAGTGACCCAGTCTAAAGGTTCCCAATACCCGAGAGACGACGCCTCCAAAGGTGCCCGAAAGAGGCAGAAGTTCATTCTCCGGCGGAAGGGAGGATGTCCTTGGAGAAGGCAGTTGGGCCAGAGGGGGGCAGCGCAGCGTCTTCGCCGCGGCCCTGATCGCTTGAACTGCCAGCCCAAGGTGGGAGGCAGTTTTGTCCTCACCCCACTTTCAAGTAAGGCCTTGGGTGGTGATCTCTGAACCTGGGTTGGAAAGAGAGAGAGAGACGGGGTCCGACATTGGCAGGACATACGGTGCTGCCGGCTGTGAGAGACTCCTTTCCCGACCCCGTTTCTGGAGATCGAGTGGTCAATTAAGCTTCGTGCGCCTCAAACGCATACCAGTACTTGGACATTTTTACATTTTAAGCATTTCAGTCTAATAGGGTAACAGCAAAGAACCCCAAAGAGGGCGTTAAGGCAGAATCTGGCAAATCGGAAGCAACAAAAGTTGGTGAGCTGGTGAAGGAAAGGGAAATCGGCCGTGGAAGAGAAGCTCATCTTTTCAGCGCTCCACTGCTTCTTCTTTGGAACCGTTTGGGACAATATAACCATTTCATGTTCATGTCTCGGGTTGCAAAGCAAACCAAAGGTCAAAAGCCGTAGTCGGTTGGAGGGGGTGGTTCAAATATGGAAGGGTGCCAGAGTGTTGTATCTTGGGCTCCGGTCCCCTGAGCAGGCCAATCTCCGCTCAGGTTCTCCCAAGTCTGGGCTCAAAACTCAGAGAAGTGCCCCTTTCATGGCCAGACCCAGGGTCGCGGGCGTCTGGTGGAGGAGGCGGGAGCCCAGGCGACACGCCAGCTGGCCACGTGGTTTTGCCCCGCTGAGGCTCACAGCTTTGGTCCGGTAAACCCGGGGGTGTGGAGCGCAGGGGTCCGGTGGAGGGATCAGCCTTGTGGGAGAAACGAGGGCAGGAGAAGTCCTGACTGCGGGGGTCGAACAAGGAAAGCTCTGCTTTCTTGGGAGGGGTTTGCTATCACCATTTTTACAAATATTCAGAAACAATGACCACAGCGTGCCAACTGGCCTGCTTCGAGAGTCACTGCCATATTTTAAAACGAAAGCCTGTGTGAAAATCAAATTCTACTTGACCTCCACATAATAGTACTCTGGCAGGTCTCCTTAAAACAAAACACACCCTGATAAGTACCCTGTGTTGCATCTTCCTTCTGCCTGTAGCACTTTATCTTGGAAGCAGTTAGAGACCAGACATAAATTATGCCACACCCTCCTTTTCTTGTAAATCTGAGTTGCAGAGTATCCCGCAATTCTTATTTGAAAGTGGTTGCAGAAATCTTGAGAAATTTCCACCTTTACTTACCTTATTTATTTAAAAAATCAATCTCAAGTCTTAATTTTTTTTCTTCACCTGAATTCTCAAAAATAAACGGATCGAATATTTGGATGCTTTCTGTTGTGGCTGTGGGTAAGCAAGACAGGGAAGTGTGGGCAAAGTGGAAGGGAAACCATACCTGACCAAGGGGATTTGGTGGGGGTGGGGGGATGAAAATGGGGGAGGAGAAACCGAGTCCTTGACAAGGCAGCAGCCAGGGATCATTAGCCAGTCGGACTTGCAGAGTCATCAATCTCCAAGACTAGTTCTTAAACAAGTGAGCCCAGCCCTTCGGCAGGCACTAAACTTCTAGGGGATGAAGAGCTCTTGGCCATTACAGGGACCTGCAGGGTTGAAGCAACTCTCTGGTGGACGATGCTTAGAAGAGGATTTAAAATGAATGGCCTGACTAGGTAGGACTCTCCCCATCCCCACTCGGAATCCTCCTGACCCAGTCACAATGAACGACTTTCGTTCCAAGAAGAAATTTCCAATTCTTCCAAGGAGTGGAGGATGAGGATGAGACCGCTTTCTGAGTGCTCAGATGTTGTTTTTTGAGCAGAAGGATGTAGCCTACCAAATGAATCACCTCGCAGAACATCTGGGGCTTGTACTCCCCAGTTTGCAAAACATTCCCTGGCCTGATGGTTCCACTCTGCTCATCTATAGCTCTATTCTACCTAACATTGTTTTAAAATTTTTTCTTATCCACTCTTGCTGATGCAAGAGTGGAGGCGGGACGCCTTTCTATGTGTTGAAGGAACTGAATGTAATTCTGCGTATGTCGTACACACACTAACAACGACTTCAAAAACACTCAGTTTAACATATGAAATCATACTTTTAAAAGCCTAATTTGGGGGCTCTTAAAAACATTCTTTGAAATTTCCCTTTGAGCCGGACCTGAGCCTGACTTGGGAGTCAGTGGGACACTACCTTCTTTGGGAACACTGGCTCAATTGCAACTTAATCGTTTTGTCTACTTCTAAAATAAATTTTCTGAAAAAAATTAACCAAAATCAGGAAAGTTGTCTTTTGCACTCGATAATTCAAAATGAGCTTTGTTTTCAGACTGCGAAGTTGGCATGTTTGCATTCCTTCCTGAGGAATGCGTGCTGTGTTAAATTTTTTTTTGAAAACAGAAGTCAGAGTTAGGGATCTCATACTGAGCATGTGCAATAAGTATGTACAGATCTGCATCTTTACAGTTTGAATATGCACTGACGTTCTCTTAGCAACAGTCATTCATAATACTTTTAGAGGAGAGGAACACACTGTGGAACCGTTAGCAAGCTGGTAAATTTTGGACTTGGGTCTCGCACAAACGCTGAGTAATCAGATCTGTGTCCACTCTTTCTCCTCAGTCTTTGGATGCCCTACCACCTGTTTGTTGGCTTAGAGTTCTGTGAAATAATATCTCCAAATTGCATGAATGGAGCACAGGATCATTCCCACAGAAGGGGGCGCAAATTGGAAAAGGCTGCAGTGAGTGGATGGATCTCCGCTGAGACTGCCCGTTGTAGATGAGATCTTTCTTTCATCACTGCATGGGGATGTGAGTGAGATGATTTCTTCAGAGGAAAATGTAAAGTTTGTGGCAGCATGAATGACCTTGATGACCCTGTAAACCAGACCCTTTCTCTGTGACACAGGTCGTTTTAATGATGTTTGAGCCCCTTGCCCTAACTAAGAGCTCATTCTCTTTCGTTCAATGACAGGTTAATTCATGATTTTAACTGATTCTACCTTTCTCTTTAGGAATTTCTTAAAGAAAAACAAACTAAAGTTGTGAGTAACTAAAATCTGAAGCTTGCGGTCCAGAAATGAGGAGAAAAAATATAAAGCACGAGCAGTTGAGTTGCCAACACCTCAGATGAGCAAATCAAATTTTCAAATAAATATTAATTTTTCAAATATCTGGCATTCTGCACACAAAGGGAGACATAGCTTGCCAGACTTCTGGGAAGAGAGGAATCAGGGTGTAGAGGCAGATGGAGTTGTGAAGAGCCTTTCCCCAAACCCTTTCAACTTGCCGGGTGTGCCGGCTTGGAAGTCTGTTCTCCATCTTTGCTGCCAATTAGCCGTGTGGAAATCCACTCTCACTTTACTTACTTCGAATAATTGCTGCAATAAATAATTGAAGAAAGAATATAAGAAATGCATAGTTATCCGTAGAGGCTTTTTATCATGGCCGCAATCTTCTTACATCATATGCATTTTTACCTCCTTTTTAATCATCCGATAATGGGGCAATTGAAATATAAATCAAATGATTTACATTCTGTGTTTTTTTCCAGCTAAATATCCCTTTCTAATGACAGCTTTCATCTCCAAGGTTTTTTTGTTTTGTTTTGTTTTTTCACAAATGGCTTTGCCTGAAGTCCTAAATGCTACATCCATTGTTTAGATTGATTCTTTCTACATAAAACATGTTGTTTTTGCCAGTGACCACAAGAGGACACAATTTCCCAGAGAACTTGGTTTAAAGAGAAGCTCTTGGAAGAGGAAAGCTAACGAACGACATGGTAAAAATACTCCACGATTAAATGTCATTTTAGGGATGTCTAGTTGATTTATATCACTTTTATTAATTTTTAAAAACAAACATGAGTTGACATTTAAGCTTTAGTGTTTTTGGAAAAATTATGATCTTTTTATTGAATAAAGTTTATTGTAGAAAAAAGCATACATTAGTGAAAATAAAATACCATTTTAAAGGAAAGTTTATTTTACATTAGCAGAATTTCGTGCAAAACTATCACCAGAAATTTTATTTTCTTAACCTCAGAGCCATGTTTGAGAATTAAAACCAGTTAAAAAACATATATGGCCGCTTCAGAATATCTTTGAAAGTTTGAATTTTTAGTTGAGGCACTGGGAATGTCTTTATATAAAAAATTGCATTATATAATGTTTTGTCCATTATATTTCAATGCACATGGTAGATTAAGACCTAAAATCATTGTTTCAAAGCTGTAGAAAGTAAGTTAAAAAGTACTAACTCCCAATACTTCCCCTGAATTATTACACATTGTCTTTAATTTAATTTAAGATTGCCTTCCTCTTTTTTTACTACTTCCTATCAAAAAAGATTTCAGGGCTGAGTTCTTTGTAAATTAAAGTTAACATGAATTACGTCTCAGTCTTTTTGAGGAAGGGTTTTCTGGTTCCGGTGGAGCACCATGACATCCAAGATGGGGCATGTCAGTTTCAGTGGGAACCCATGGCTTTTGTTTGGCACTTGTGTCTTCTTGCAGATATGTCCATAATCACATCCTCCGAAAGCCTGCTGGAAGGACTAAGCACTGGACTGAAAGACTTGGAAAAAGATGAGGAAAAGACATGAGAGAAAACAAAGTGAAAATAAGGAAGAAATGAAGAGAGAGCAGAATGTGGAGAGAGGATAAAAGATGGAGCTGGAGCAAGTGAGAAAAAGGGAATTTCTAGAGAAGGAGAGATTGAAGCTTCGTGTGCAAGGGGAATAAAAGGCTTAAATGACAAGAGTGAGAAGGAAATAATTGCACTTAGTCGGAAATAGGAAAGCACCAGGATTATTTGCCTCAGTTTCTGCCTGAGTTGTAAGTAGCTGCCTGGCCTTTATTATAGGCATTTAGTTTTAAAAATCCTTGTCACCGTCACCTAAGTCATAACAACAAAACAACAACAATAACAACAAAACCCCACAAGAAACAGTGTGAAGGGCATTTGAAGGGCCATGAAACTTTTTAAAAAGATTATTTATTTATTTGTTTTTAGAGACAGGGGAAGGAAGGGATAGAGAAAGAAATGGAAACATTGCAGTGGGAAAGATATATTGACTGGTTGCCTCTCTCATGCCCTCAACTGGGGACCTGGCCTGCAACCCAGACATGTGCCCTGACTGAGAATCGAACCCGTGGCCTTTCTGTCCACAGGCTGGTGCTCAACCCACTGAGCCACACCAGCCAGGGAGGGCCATAAAACTTTCAATTAAAGTTGATGTTCATATAATAGACATGCTCTGCCCAGAATTAGAGCAAAGATGGCGACATGTTGTCCTTATTGGATCTCAGGATGGTGAAGGAGGACATCTGGGGAAACACTGATGCCATTCCTCCTGGAAAAATGCTATGAGCTGTGATAGGATTTCAGAAATCTTGTGTGGTTGCTAAGACTCATTCGTTATTTTCCACTTGACCTCCAGAATGGAGATCAAACCGGTTGTTTTTCCCTGTAGTTAATCAGGATCAATGCTTTTGCCCTCTCCACCGCAGATTCCTCAGGGAAAGACATAGTGTAAGCGATGAGTCGTATTCTCGCTCACCCCTACTCAAGACCTTGAGAGATTGTAAGGTTCAGGTTCTGCCTAATGGTGCATTAAGGAGATCTGAACTCTAGTTTCAGCTGGCACTCATTAATTGCAACACATGTATGATTTGTAATTTAACATAAATTCCTCAAAGTCTTTAATTATTTTAGGTGCTCTGGGTAAGAAGATTTTAATTTTTGACATCAAGTGGAAAATGAAACATGCAAACACTTTTCTAACATGGAGAGCTAACTTCTGTGATAGATGTTTTCTTTCTCTTTCTCTTTTTAAAGTTGATTTTATTGGGGTGACATTGGTTCACAAAACCACACAGGTTTCAAGTGTACCACTGAAGAAAACATTATCTGCACATTTCATGGTCCACCCAATGCCCAAATCAGTCTTTTTCCATCCTCATTTCCCGCTCTTGGGCCCACGACCACCTCCCCTCACCCCCCTTTCCCTCTGGCTACCTGATAGATATTTTTAAGCAGTGCCAAGAAAGGACCCTGAACCTGGTCTAAGGCAACAGGATGGCTTTGCACTTTGGGAAGTCACCTCACTGTGATGGTAGCCTCCTAATAAATTTCCAGGAAGCCTGCCCTAAGGAGAAACCCGCAGAATGGCCCACTGACTAAATGAAGATGCACGTGACACATGGTTTGTTGAGTCAATCTGAAATATACAATACAGCAAGAAAGGGAAGTAAATGGGGCAGATTAATATACTAGGACAAGTTGCAAACAGGCAGGAAGGACCATGCTGCCAGGATCTTGGGGAACACAGATCCACAATATTAATATCCTTTCATTGATATCATCTTTATCTCTGTGTCTATGTCTTTCTGTTCCTCTTTCTCTCTCTTCCCCTCTCCTCTCCCTTCCTCCATCCCCCTCTCTCTCTTTCCCTCTTTTCCCTTTCCCTCTATCAATCAGGCTTCCTTGCTAATGGGGGTGAGAGGTCCAAAGTTTATGGTGTGCAATGTTAGAGGACGGCTGGAGCTCTTGGCCTCCCGGAGAGGCACAAGGCAAATGTGCTCTTTCTCAGATGAGCTTGACACTTAGCCTACCGAGCAGTTATATATTTTATCTTTCTGTCTTGGCCAGAAAGACAGGTGGGCCAGGTTCGGTGTCACTGATAGGGGTCCTATCTAAGATACCATGAATATGGCTTCCCTGGGAACTTCATGACTACTTGATGCTTATGTAGTCTTTCTGTCCTTTCCTACTTACTTTACTGATGTCTCAGATGTCTCTGGGTTTTTACTTCTTTCCTCTTTGTTTCTCTTACTCTCTTTAGCAGAATCAGATATTCATAAATAATACAGAAAGCATACATTGCAGTTTTCCTGAAGTATGCAAGTACATTATTTCAGCTTAATCCTGAAGGATTAATGGGGCAAACCAGGTGAGAAGGGGTAAGAGGAAAGAAAGATGCTGGGAGTGACATGGACAAAGGTGTGACATAAGTTTGCATGGTGGCCTTTTCAGGGACCTGTTGGGAGTGTTGAGTAGCTGGAAGTGGAAGGAGTGTGGAAGCAGCTGGAAATGATACAAAGTGCAGATCACAGTAACTTTGTGTGCTGTGCTAAGGAATTTGCATTTTATTCTAAATGCAATTGGAAAATGGAAGAATGTTAAGCTGGGAAAGTACGTGATGAGATTTATATTTTAGAAATGTCAGTCTGTGGACAGACACAGTGCAGGGGATGGATGAGACAGGTGATTAGATTTAGGAGGATCTCTCATCAACCTTCAAAATACCGAATGTAAGTACATCAGTTGACTTATGTGAACATACACGATTGCATGAGGGTGTGGACAGGATAATATAAAGTTGTGAGAGAATGACAGGGTTAAGGGTGATTTTGAAGTCTCGGTTCTTTCTGTAAAATAAGATAAATGGATAGATAATTACAAAAAATTTTAAAATATGTAAACCTGAAAAGCTTTTAGAAATCACCCTGCCTGACTTGTAGTCAGTTTTATAGATGAAAAGTTTTCTCTATGACTGTTTGTAACTAAGATTAGGCAATATCTGGAAACTGAAAGCATTTTCCTAAGTGATGAGAATGAGCTTTCTTCTAATTCTAGAAACTGTGTGTGGCCAACTGCAGGCCTAAACATTTATGCCAAAAATGAGTAAAATAGGCAGTAAAGTAGTTTCAAAGGGGACAGAAGGGCCTCCTTCCAAAAACCACCTTATACTTCCCATAGTCATGCTTTAAATCTGTCACGGGTACCTCATTAAGTCAGGGCCTGGAATTGTCCTCTCCAGGCTCCTCTTGTAGATGGCAAAGTCCCCGAGGTGAGGTCACACATTAGGTCACTAACACCTATACATGAATTGGACTGTATGATGTCTTTCTCAAGACAGGAGGGGCTCCGGGCAACCGAAGGACACTGGGACATACAGGAGAGGCCGGACTGAAAGGCAGGGAGAATTGTGAAGAAAGAGAAGGTCATGGTACTAGGGCCTTTGTGGGTGGTTCAAGGGCCTGTGGGAGCCTTCCCTGCTTGTTATTCAGGGTGTCTGAAGACATCCTGCTGTTATTTGGATTCAGTTCTGATAGGTAGAACACAAGGAGACAGCAAGGAAACCAGAGTCCACTGGTCTTCTCTCATCAACCTCATCTCTGTCGAGATCTTAGAACCTTGACATGGGTCCATCAAATAAAGGAGTACTCTTCTCTTTGCTATCAGGTATAAATTAAGAGCAGACAGTAATACATAATCTCTCGGTTTTAACTCTAAAAGGGTCTGTTTATATGTAACTGTGTCCAAGACTAGAAATATTTCTGGGGAACATGAGTGTGTACAATGACTGAGAAAACAAAAATATCCACTAATGGTCATAAGCAACCTTAATGCAGTTTTAATTTTAGTCAAAGTTTTGGGGAGAAATAATTGTTAAAAATAACCTAAAGAGAGACAAAGATATTAATTCTGAAGCATGTCAGCAGGGCTGGACTATCTGAAGAGCAGACGTTACAGATGAATTATATTTAACATATTTTAATTGGGCCATCCTCTGAAATGGACTAGAAAGGTTGAAAGAATATTTAGGAAAAATAAACTCTACTTCTAGATTTATGTAACATCTACTCACTATTATTTTCATTATACTGATTCTTATATGAAAATTGGGCACCCAGATATTTTATAGAACCATTAAAATATTTTGCTGTACTCCATTTAATACATCCTAAATGAGAGAGAGAGAATTTGATGGTAAACTTCGGTAAGGCAGAATGACTGTTAGGTTTTATATGTGGAAACTCCGGCAATGAGGCTGTGGTCACGTGTGCTGTAGCCCCTGTCATTTCCCTGAGTTCACGGGTAAGGAAGGCAGAGAGTCATGCTACTGGAGTAATTCCGTAGAACGACAGCAGAATAAAATAGGAATCTAAGTAATTTCCCTTGGTTAAATTAGATGATCATTTTACTCAAAAAATTTTTTAAATTGAAAGCATTACAATTATAGAATTGGAGAAACTGCTTAGCAAAGTCACTACATTCAAGTCATAGATGACAAGAGTTAGTGTAAGTTTTAGAAGTCCAGAGCACTTCTTACTTTTCTGGCAAGACAGAATGGCCATAGAGGATAGTGTAGTAGATGATAACCTGGATTCTGGAGCCAGTTCATGGAGGCTCAAATACGGCTAAACTTCTCCCTACCTGTGACCTAAAGGATCTTACTTATCCCCCCCCCCCCATGCTTCCAGTGAAGGAGAAATAATGATGTACTTGAACCTGAGATGATGAAACAGAGCCGCAAGAGCTAACCACTTACAATGGTGCCCAGCACTTGATATATGTTTGATATTATTATTTGAAATGAAGACTAAGTTTTTCAGTACCTTGTAGACAGCGATGAAGCATTCACATTCAATTCTAAGTGAAAAGTGCAAAGGGAAATTTTTAAAGGGTCATTGAGGAATTCAGTTGATGATCCATTACTGTTTGAAGAGCAGCTGTTCCTATATCCTTGTCCAAGTCCCTAAAGACTGAAAGTTAAGGGGGAAACAGCAATCGGAAGAGGTTCAGTGATGCTGTACCCTAGCTGCACAGACATGGTGACAGGAGGCGTATGACCTCTTCAGTTTCGGTCTTGGTTGGTGTTTTGTCTGAGCTGAAGATTCTCATATTCAACTGTGCACTTGACACCACAGCGTGGGTTCCTCACGGAGAAGTGGAACTTACTGTGGCTCTCAAATAACTTGCAAATCAGTAAATTAATTATATAATGTTTTTAAAAATTATAACAATTTCTCCAATGAGAGTT